ATTTTTGACTTTTTTGTATGAATTATCGATTTTTTGACTTTTTTAATAATTTTTTGACTTTTTGACTAAATAGATTGGTTCCCAAACGAGGCCTAAACTATCTTTTACTTGCAAAAGGTCAAAACCTATTGAATTCAGCACAACAAGAAGGTAAGCCAATATGGCCAAGTTTGGCATGATTGAAAAAAGACAAAAAGTCAAAAAGTCACTATCCTATTTAAGTCACATCATCTTATTTAAGTCACATCATCTCTCTAACACATCATTTCAAATCCAACCCAAACTCAACTCATATTTCATAAAAAGTCAAAAAATATACTTATTTAGTCTTCCCAAACTAAGCCATAATATCAAAATATTACGACAAGTACCGGTTGAATTGTATGCCAATTGACTTTAGATTTTTCCAAAACCACTACTATTTAGTCTAAAAGAATTAAAAAATAATTTTTAATAAAAATCTAAAAAATTCACACATAAATAATATAAAAAAAAAATTAGAGAACTTATATCATAAATCCAGTTTTTAAACTTATTTTGCAATACCTCGCTAAACCAAGGCCATAAATTTTTATTATATTTTAGTTTAAAAGTTACTTTTTCTATTTTGGCTATACATATTTTAAATACACTCCCCAACAAACTTTCTATTATTTTTATTAATTTTAATTTAAAATTATTTTAATAAGCTCTACACAACTAAATCCAAAATATCAAAAGTAATATTTTTTAATGTTTGATTAATCCAAACCACTAACTACATTTGTTGAGTCAAATTCATCAAAACTAAAATAGCTAACTTTAATAACTAGTTTGATGGAGTTAAAATTTACTGAATCACTTACTATTTTAACTAAAAATTTGAAAAAAAAACAAAAACAAAAAAAAACACTAACTTGATGGAGATGCTCTAAAAGAATATGCATTTCATTTTAAACAATTTACTCTTGTAGTTATTTTGTGTTAATTTTTTTTTTTTAAAATCTCATAACTTGAGTTTTTTCAAATTCGTTTTTTTGAGATCTTTCAAATAAGATCAATATTAAATATAAAATTAAAAAAAAAATGAATAAAATAAATTTTCAGTCAATCAAACCAATAAAATAGTAATTTTTGTGGATGTAAGCAATCGAAACTCCTTTAGTAGTTTTAGATGGATAGATCTCCAAAAAATATATGAAATAAAAATAAATAAATAAAAAGATTGTCCAAAATGGACTACCGAGTATAAAGTTATCACCTGTTGAAATTTAACACGATAAATGATTTGAATAGATAGTTATCTGAAGGTGTAAGCGATTCTATTCAAATTATTTATGGCGCTAATACTTCACTAGGTCATTTTTATGCTAGGTATCCATTTTGAACAATTTTTTTCTTTATTCCATGTATTTTTTTGGATAACTATCCATCTAAAATTACCGAAAACAGTTTCAAGCACTAATTTTATGAAAAAAATGTTATTTCATTGTAATCGAAAGTCAATCTATATGTCCCCGTACTTGAATGTATGTGTTTAAATTATTTTAACATCTTTGTTATAATAATTTTAATCTATATGTTCAAATTATTTTAACCTTTACATATATTTTGTGCTAAATTTTTTTAAAATCTCATAACGAGTTCTACAAATTCATTTTTAATAAAATTGATATCTATAGATTTATTTATTCTAGATCTTTCAAACAAGATTAATATTGAATATGAAATTTCAAAAAAAAAAAAAAACTTTAATAGATTAATTTTTCAATTAATCAAAACAGCGAAACAATATTTTTTTTTTAGAAATACTCAAAAGCACCGTTAATAATTTTGGATGGATATCTCAAAAAAATAATTGAATACAAAAATCGTACAAAACATACTATGAAGCATAAAGTTATGTCACGTTGTCAGAATAATTTGAATAGATAGAATAAATGATTTGAACAGATAGCTTTATGCTTGAATAATTTATGGTGTTAAAACTTCAATAAGTCATAACTTTATGCTTGATGGTCCGTTTTGAACGAATTTTTTTTATTGCATATTTGTTTTCTAGATCTATCGATCCAAAATTATCAAAGGCGGTTTCAAGGGCTTATTTTCTAGAAAAACTTGTTTTGCTGTTTTGATTAACCAGAAAGTCAATCTATTAATTTTGTTTTTTTTTTTTTGAAATTTTATATTTAATATTGATCTTGGTTGAAATATCTTGAAAAAAAAATAATTCATATATATCAATTTCGTTAAAATCATATTTGTAGAAGTAAAGTTATGATATTTTAAAAAAAATTAGCCCAAATTACACATAAAATTGAAATAATTTGTACAAATAGATTCAAATATTATTGAGACAAATAGATCAAAAAAAAGTTTGCATATATAGACAAAGGGAAATTCTAACATACACAGGTTTGAAAATGATATACACTTTTAATTATGTCATTTTCTTTTTTAATTATGATCAATTTTCTTTTTTAGTTATAATATTATTTTAGTTATGACTCATAATTTTTTAGTTATATCTCATATTGTGTTTGGTTAAAACATATTTTATTTTTGTAGCTATGACTCAAAAAATATAAATATGTCATTCATTCTTTAATTGTAAGGTACATATAGTATATATCTTTGGAACAATGTGTGTAATTTAAAATAATTTAGACAAATAAATTAAAATAATTTAAATAAATAGATATCTAAAGGTGTGAACAAAAATTTGTTTATGGTGTTAAACCTTTAATACGTCGTAACTTTACATTCGGTAGTTCATTTTTTCTTTGGATGATTTTTTATTTTATTACATATATTTTTTTGAGATTTATCAATTCAAAATTACTAAAAAAATTTGATTAGTTGAAAAATCAATCTATTAAATTTATTTTTAAATTTTCATATTTAATATTAATCTTATTTAAAAAATTTCGAAAAGACAAATCTACAAGTACAAATTCAAGTTATGAGATTTTAACTTTTTTAACACAAAACACACTTAAAAAACAAAAATGTCAAAAATGATCGTTATCTCCATATGTTTGGACTCTCCAATCAAAAAATGCTTTGCGTATGTCCTTGTAATTAACAAAAACCAAAATTTAGACCTAATACTCAAGGCACCACACTACTTGGATTTACCAACAATTTTCTAAAAAATTAACTTTTTAAACTTTTTTTTGTCTGAAATTTTATTTATTTATTTTTTAAACTTTTCAAGTTCCTATAATCTAGTAAAACCTAAAAGTAAAAAAATTGACTGAATTTAAATAATAATAAACAAAAATACCATAGACAAGAAGAAAAATAAAAAAAATAAAACTACCAAAAAGTAACAGCCACCCACCCCCTCATATAAATGGAAAAGGGAATGGGGACCGCGCAGCAGCAACGGTTGTGCGGCGCAATGGGTTCATTGCGAGGCTTATTTTGATAATTCGAATTGTTCATATTTTATCGAATACATCAAGTAAAACATACCTATAAAAAATTAAGTTAATCGGATATCATTTACTCATTCACCAACTCACATTTAGATCTACAAAAATAAATAATAATTGTGATTTAAAGTATTAAAATAAATACAAATGTGAGTTGATGAATGAATAAATGATATCTTATTAACTTGATTTTTTACAGACATGTTCTATTTGAAATATTCGACGAAATGTGAACGGTTCGAATTATCAAAATAGATCCCGAAATGAACCCATTTCACCTCACAACAGTTGCTGACGCGCGGGGTGCGCAGCAGCATACCCATTCCCAAAATGTTTACAAATTAATGAAAAACTTTGTTACTTTAAAATCATAAAATTTTTCAAGAAATTGATATTTATTTATTTATAAAGTTGTCATTTCGGAACCCATTTTGATAATCCAAACCGTTCATATTTTAGAATACATAGTAAAACATTCTTACAAAAAATCAAGTTAATCGGATATTATTTACCAATTCATCCACTCATATTTGTATTCATTTTAATACTTTAAATCACAATTGTTATTTATTTTTGTAGATCAAAATAATATCCGATTAACTTAATTTTTTACAGACATGTTCTACTTGATGTATTCTAAAATATGAACGGCTCAAATTATCAAAATAAACCACAAAATGAATCCATTTCACCACACAACAATTGCTGCTGCGCAACAATATCCCAAATCCTTTTCCCTAACTTTCACCGAAATGATATTTTTCCTGTTTTCTTTTCCTTCTACCTCTGACACAGCATTATTTTTTCAAAACATCGAAAACAAATCTCAACCCGCTCCCCAGATCTCAGCGGGCAAATCCTAGACACAACCAAGTGATCCCATTATAGAAGTGAACCATGTCTTTGGGAGCTTCTATTTACACATTCACTTTCCCCTCTTTGCACACACTTCATAAAAATTATTTTTATTATAAATTTTTTTTCAAATGAAATTACTATTATAGACATCAAATAAACACATTCGGAAGTTAAATATTGAAAAAATAATAAAAATTCGGAGTCTACTTCCGAACCAATTGCTTATTTTCGAAAAGTTACTTCTGAACCAATTGCTTATTTTCAAAAATCTACTTCTGAACTAATTATTTATTAAAAAAAAATGTGTAAAGAGGGAAATGAGTGTGTGTAAATAGAAGCTTCCCATGTCTTTTGAGCACTTATAGTGATGAAAAAAAATTAGGTACGAGAGAGATGACTTATCATCACAGATTCATGAAACACAACAAAAATTCTCAGTACTGGCTAATGATGTTGAAAAAAAATTAGGGATGAGAGAGATGACTTATCATCACAGATCTATGAAACACCAACAAAAATTCTCAATACTAGCTAATGAGGTTTCCAGAGAAATAGCATAGCAGAGAGACACCTTAATGGCCTTATTTAAACAAATTTAAGCAAGTTTGGCAACTTGCAAAAACACTAAAAAGTCAAAAAATTACTCAAAAAATTAAAAAGTTATCACTATTTACCAAAAGTCAAAAATTACAACTGCACAACTCTTAATCCTAATTTTTCCCTGCGGAGAGAGAGAAAAGAATTCCAAACTAGCAACTAGTGATCAAAAAACTCTTCCAACCGTAGCAAAATATAGCGTCCATACATGGCAAAAAGAATTAGGAAGTTGCCTGCTTCAGATATGCTATGAGGTCAGCACGCTCCTGCGGCTTCTTCAGTCCTGGAAAAACCATCTTCGTGCCAGGGATGTACTGCACAGAGACAGACAGACAAGTAGTTCATAACTTTCTGTTGTTCGTTTAACGAGTACATGGTGGGAACTTCTCAATACACCCATTTAAAACTTCTTATACCCACCACATGCATTTTAAAGGTTGGTTTGGGGTGTCCTAAAAAAGTGCACTTTTTGTCTTTTTACGAAAAGATGTGCAGAAAAGTAAAGAGGTGATGCGATGAAAAAAAGATAAAAAGATAGATTATATAGGTTATGCCAAACCTAGCCTAAACCTTGTACCGTATAAAGAAACATGTATACATATGGGGATTTAGAAGCTCCCGGGCTCACAAGTTCCATGTTAATATTCCGCCCAACATACAATCTAATAGTGATGCTATGAACATTCTGTTGAAAGGACACGATCAACAATTTCGTATGAGCTATGCTAATTCCTTAAATTTAAGACGCATGGACACTTCTAATAAGGTGGTATATCTATGTTCCTAATACGTGTCCAACACTCGTCCAAACATATCCTATTTTTTTTATTTAAAAGAACAAAAATTTAGATCCGAACAATTGGAGGACAGACATGTCCATCGCTTAGACATACATGAAACTAATTATAAATTTGAGCAAAATAAATTAAAATACAAATGCTAAGAAAAAAATCAAAATTTATAGCAACTAGAGTTATGATGCATTCTTTTATTATCTTTGAATGATATGTTCATATATATAATATATAAGAAATATATAAAACTATATATTTGTGCATGTTTCCACATGTCGTGTCCTGGATTTTTTAATTATTGTCACGTTGGCATGTCCGTATTATATCCGTGTCATGTCACCTATCCACATCCTTGCTTCTAAGATGTCAATGGGAGCTGAATTCTAGCATTAGGAGAAATTTCAGTCAACATATCGCTCTCATTTTTCACTTGCTAAGCATGATATCAACTTGTACCTCTAAGGATTAAAACAACCCATAACTTTTTCTCAAAAAATAAAAAAATAAAAAAACAACCCTTAACAAAGAGGCTGGGAAGAACAACAGTCCAGCAAAAAATAATTCACCAAGCTTGCTTCTTTTGGAAGGTTCTACCATGTTAGGCAAACATATTTAAGAAATCAGAAAACTTATTTAAGAAAGAACACCTTCCAAGTATGCAAAGTTCTCACATATGGCAAAAAGTCACCCTCCATTAGAAGATTAGCCCATAAATGGTGTTGTATAAGCAAAATCTTGCCATTTTACACTAGATGATGTTGTTTATTATCTGCCAGAACCTAGTCAACTCAGACCTGATCTGACCTAGGAACCTTAAAATGAAACCCTTATTCCTTCCATATTAATTCCATACCTAATCCATTCAAACCCTCTTAAAACTAAACCTGCTTGTATCACTTTTGCATAAATCCCAGTCTAGAAAGCACAAGGCAATTTGAAAATTAATAATAAATAAAAAAGGGCTTTTGGTCTAAAAATCCAAAATCAAACTTTCTATGTCCAAAGATCCAGCCACAGGAAAACTGTCCACAAGGACATGCTAAAGCAAAATGTCCAAACTACCCCTTCACATACATATATCAGGTTAGAATCTTTCACTCACACACACACACACACACACACTTTCTCTCTCATCTAACCCTAACATCTCTCTCTCTCTCTCTCTCCTCCTCATCTTCTTCAAAGTTGCCCTTCCTCCGTTGCGCCTATCAGTCTCTCTCCCTCCCTTCGTCACTACCATCTACACCACTTCCCGATCGAAGATTTCAATTCTTCCATGGCGACGAAGCCTGAGTTAGTCATGGCACGATCGCCCTCACCGACTGAGTTCACTTGCTCATCCACAGATAGAAATCCATAGCAGAGATGGCGTTGTTGGTGGTGTGCCATTTCCAGTGACAATGTGTTAAGGAAGCGAATCAGCACTCAGTCTTCGGCGACGGCATCTGAGATCTACTACATCTCCGCTTCCATCTAGATCTGCAAACGGTGGAGGCCCATCGTCTTCTTGGTTTGGTGGTGGAGATGATTTATCATGTGAATGATGAGGAGGTCAATTGTGTGGGTACCAGAGTTAAAGCTTCGTTCGCTCCTTTCTTTTATGATGTGTTCAACACTAAGATTTGTATCTGTTTATCTCCAACAGTCTCTAAGTTCACCTCTAATAGTCTTTGAGTTCAGTATCACCGAAACATGGACGACGGTAGTGTTGCCTTCAGTCTGAAATGGAGATGAGATTAGGTTTTTGAAGATGCGTTGAAGAAAAATCGCAAATCTAAGTCCATCTCCGATCACACCAAGAAGTCTCAGAAGGTACAATCAAACTCTCTCTCTCTCTCTCTCAGAGAAAGTAAGAGGTACAATCGTAGATGCTAGTTGATTTTTATAATTCGTGTTTCGTGTGCATGAAATAGTGATTGTGAGTGTTTCTATTACAACCTCAAGCATCTTACACGAGTGAAGATTATCGACCATTGTTTCGTCTTCTGCCTAAGGAACCCTAGAGTACCTGTTTAAACCTTAGAATTTTTATTTTTTTTTTGTTGATTATTGATGTAGAATTATTATTGTTGTTGTTGTTGAACAGATAGTGGAATGAAGTTTTTTTATTTTTGGTTGAACAGATTTGTTACATCTCTATTCAAATATGTAAGAATTTAAACAGATCTGTAACAAATACGTTCCAAAAATTGAACAGATATGTAAAATTTTGAATAGATCTATAAAAATTTGAACATATCTGTGACAGATTTGTTCAAAATTTTAAACAGATAGATTAGACCTTTGTATTTTTAAATAGATAGAGAAAAAAACTCATAGATTTTAAAAAGATAGAGAAAAGATTTTAAACAGATAGAGAGAGAAACCCACGGATTTTGAATTAGATAGGGAAAAAAATTCAACAGATAGTCAAAATTTGAACAGATAAAAAATAATTTGAATAGGTAGATATAAATTTGAACAGATAGTCAACAAAAAGTCAACATTAAAAAAAAAGTCAACAGATAAATTAAGGAGTAAAATTGAAAACAAAATGTCCTTCAAAACAAATAAAAGGATTTCTCACCAAATTATTTCACAAAAGGTGAACCTCACCAATAAAAAATACTGAACCTAATGCCTTATACCCTCCTTAAGTGGGATTTTTCAATAATTAACCCTAAAAAAAATGGATACAATTGGGACACGACCTCAAATCACTACATATTTGCACTATATATACATAAAAATAACAAAAAACGAATCTCTTTTTAGGCAACATATATTTATATTTAATTATACAAAATGGTTAGTAATTATTTGTTCTCCACATTTAATATGTTGGAAAAGAAGTGTAGTAAAAAAATCCTTACATCTATTTTTAAAAAATTATATTCCTAAATGGGTATAAATACACATTGTTTTGATTTTAATCATAACTTAAAGTCCCAAGTTACTCTTCAAACTTGCACCAAGACTCATATGCACGAAGTAAGGGAAAAAAAAATGTAACAGTGAGATTAGAAATCCGACAGCAGTCCAAGCCCGTCATAGCTCCCCGAGCTCTTCCACAAAGTCTTCTTCGCTGGTGAATTCCTCAGTACCTGGTGTTGAATGCCAAGGCAAAATTAATTATCCCACCATCCTTTTAATTGTCCAGTAAAGCCAGAAATAAGCATTCTAGCTATTGTAGAATAACTATTCCTGTCAGGGTGTCTTGCTAAGGTGGCATTAGCAGCCATAACCATATGTTGACCAAGGTTAAGGATACTATAATCAGATTTTCCATTTATATTCCATTCTCAAAGATCACCTCTAGTAAAGGTAAAGGGTGTATCAAAATGTTTTCTTCTAATTGAAGATCGATGGGTGCTAAGCGATGATAATAATTCCTCATTGGTGGTTGAGCTGTGACCATAGATGTTTCATTAATTTGGGTAGGATTATTGGAACTTGGAAGTAAATTATTCATATAAATTTTGTAATAAATTATTGTCTTGTAGAACATTAACTTATCTTTTTTGTTCTTTTTCTTTTCCTTCTCTTTGAGATGTTTGTTGAGAGGTAGAAGTTCCTGTGTCTAGAGTAGGATATTTAATAGGGTCAGTATCATTAAGAATCTTGCATAGTGTTTCTTCTCTTTTATATATTTCAGACATGAATTGAAGTCGAACATCTCCATGACCTGGAGGTCGCAATTCAAATGCAGACTCGAGACTTCAAGTACACAATTTCTACAAACAAATTAATCCCACAGGGACGCATCCTCCCAAGGGTGATACTATACTTGAGGCAGTTTCTAATGGTTCACATTCATGTCCTAATGATTTAACGCGTATTGATGATATTAAGGAATGTGATGCTCCAGAATCAAACAAAACATGAACCCAAGAATTATAGAGCACAAGATTACCTCTGATTACAAATGGGTCCTCCTCTTCTTCCCCTTCTATTAAGAAAATCCTGCTAGTTGCTTTCTGGTTATTGCTTGGTCTAGGCTTCCGGTTGCCTCTTGCCTTCTGGTATTGCTGCCCAGCCGGTCCTAACTTGTTCATCCAAGGTTTCTGCCTGCCAATCGCCTGCGTGTTCACGCCAGAACCTCCTCCTTGATAGCCCATTCTAGTGAATTGGGGACAATCAGTTTTCTTGTGCTCCAGTTGCTGGCAATGGTAGCACTAAATTGATCCAGCTGGCCTTGCTTGAAAATTTCCCCTCTAGTACTGCTGTTGCAGATGTTGCGGTTGTTGTGGCCTGGAATAAGGTTTTTGTGCAATGTTCCCTTGGGTGTTCCTCTTTGGTCCTACAAAGGACTGAGTCTCTCTCTTCTTATTCCAAATTCTTTTAGCATCAGCCTCTTCCCTCTTTGTGTATAGAGCAGTATCCACTACATATGCAAAAGTGGAAAGTCGTAATGACAAAACCCTTCCTCTAATTGTAGGGTCTAAACCCCACTCGAACTTCCTTGCATTTTCCTTATCATTTACCACGTATTGAGTTGCATATCAGGCCAACTCTTTGAACCTTGCCACATACTGGGTCAT